CCTGGGGTTTCTCCTGCTGCTGCGTCTCGCCGGGAGCCCCTCTCTCCACAGGAGCTGCGCGAGTGGTTCGCTCGCCGCTGGAGGCGTGCTGCTGAGTCTGGAGGTGCTGCTGGAGCTGGAGCTGGAGCTTCTTCGACCGTCGAGGGTGCGGGTGCTGCCGGTCCCGGAGCTGCTGGACCTGCGGGTCCTCCTGGAGCTAGAGTTGCTGAGGGCGTTCGTGCTGAGCCTGCTGCTGTTGGTCCTGCCGCTGGAGGTGTGGGTGGCGCTGGTGCTGTCGCTGAGGGTGCTGGTGCTGTCCCTGCTGAGTCTGGAGCCGCCGCGCGGCCTCGGCCGTACTTCGTTCCGCTCCTGCAGCAGGTTCTTGGTCTTTCTCCTCCAGTAGAGGGTCCATCGCCTGTCCAGTCGCAGTCCCTACTGGAGCCTTCCTCTCCACTGCCTGCTCCCTCTCCTTACACTGGTCCTACTGGAGGTCTTGCTGAGCGTCGTGAGCCTGCGTCTCGTCCCGCGTCGCCTGTTCGTGCTGCTCGCGCTAGTGGTCGCAGTTCGCGTCAGCGTCCTCCTCCTGTCCCTGGCACGCACCGGATGTCTCTGCGTCCGTCCACTGCTCCTCTGCGTGCCCCTTTGCCTTCTCCTCCTGAGTCCTCTCTTCCTGCGCTTGCCGACCCTGAGTCGGACTCTCTTCGCGCTGCGAGTCCTACTGTCACGCGTCTGCTTGCTACTGTCGTCTCGACTACGCTGCTAGTCTTGTTGCTGAGTCTGCGTCTGTCTGTCCTCCGTCCGTCGGGGGTGAGTGTGCTCTTGGCACGGACGTCCTAGAGGACTGGCAGGAGGAGTTACAGTGTCTAGCGGCTGCTTCACCTCATCTCGCGTCTGTACTGCTTGCCCCTGAGGGAGACCCGGATGCACTAGACATCCCGACTCCGCGTTCTTACGCGGAGGCCGTAGAGGGTCCCTACTCCTCTCAGTGGCACGCAGCTATGGATGCAGAGATGGCTTCCTGGAAGTCCACAGGCACCTACGTTGACGCGGTTCCCCCTCCTGGGGCGAACATCGTCAGTGGCATGTGGATCTTCAGGGTGAAGCGGCCGCCGGGCTCTCCACCTGTCTTCAAGGCACGGTACGTTGCTCGTGGCTTCAGTCAGCGGCAGGGAGTTGACTACTTTCAGACCTTCTCTCCCACCCCGAAGATGACTACTCTTCGGGTGCTGCTGCACATAGCCGCTCAGCGCGACTACGAGCTTCACTCTCTCGACTTCAGCACTGCGTTCTTGCAGGGTAGCCTGCACGAGGAGATCTGGCTTCGCCGTCCACCTGGCTTCACTGGGACTTTCCCTCCTGGCACCCAGTGGAGCCTCCGACGGCCAGTCTACGGTCTCCGCCAGGCACCGCGTGAGTGGCACGACACACTGAGGACTACGCTTGCGGCCCTTGGGTTTGCTCCTTCTACTGCTGACCCGTCGCTGTTTCTTCGCACTGACACTTCCCTGCCGCCGTTCTACATCCTCGTGTACGTCGACGACTTGGTCTTTGCCACAGCGGACACTGCTGGACTCGCCTACGTGAAGTCCGAGCTGCTGAAGAGACACACGTGCACAGACCTGGGTGAACTGCGCAGCTACCTTGGCTTGCAGATCACTCGGGACAGAGCACGCCGCACCATTACCTTGACTCAGTCACACATGGTGCAGCAGGTCCTTCAGCGCTTCGGCTTCACGTACTCCTCGCCTCAGGCCACTCCTCTGCCTACTCGCCACTCACTCTCAGCTCTGCCTTCGGATGAGTCCGTAGAGTCGAGTGGTCCGTATGCAGAGCTTGTTGGCTGCCTCATGTACCTGATGACCTGCACACGACCTGACCTTGCATACCCTCTGAGCATTCTTGCACGCTATGTTGCTCCTGGGAGACACAGACCAGAGCACATGGCTGCAGCGAAGAGGGTATTGCGCTACCTGTGCAGTACGTCGGGCATGGGGCTAGTGCTTGGAGGGCGGAGTCCAGTGGTCCTTACCGGCCACACGGACGCTTCTTGGGCTGACGACCAGGCTACGCAGCGGTCGTCACAGGGTTACACCTTCAGCCTTGGTTCCGGCTCTGTCTCGTGGCGGTCTACTCGCTCGTCTTCGGTTCTCGGCTCCAGTTGTGAGGCTGAGATCTACGCCGGGGCCATGGCTGCACAAGAGCTTCGCTGGCTCACCTACCTGCTGACTGACCTTGGAGAGCCGCCTCGTTCTCCTCCAGTGCTGTACGTAGACAACAAGGCTATGCTGGCCTTGTGTCGAGAGCAGCGCTTGGAGCACAGAACGAAGCACATTGCTCTCCGCTACTTCCTTGCTCGTGAGCTGCAGCAGCGTGGTCAGTTGCGACTTGCGTACGTGGCCTCTGAGGCCAACACTGCTGATGTGTTCACCAAGGCACTCGCGCCTTGTGACCATCAGCGCTTTTGCACCCAGCTGGGTCTTGTGCCTGTCTTGCCTCACTTGCTCTCCTCTTGACTTCACTTGTACTGTGACATATATATATGCCTGCTCTTGTTTGTCTAGTTTTATATATATGTCTGTACTCCTGCATGTGAACTGGCCTCTGGCCCTACTCTTGTGCTCGGACTGTGTGGTGACTTTGTGATCCACCCTGAGCTTTGCTTTGCTTTGCTTGACTGGTCTTGTGACCCCTTGTTCTCCCCCACTTTGCCTATGGGGGTGTGTCAGATTTATATGACATAGTTGCTGTAGGCTATAGTGGGGTAGCACATATGGGGTACAGGGTTTCTAGGGTTGTATTTGTACCCAATCTTTCCTTAGTCATTTCATTCCTGTTTTCTTTACTTCACACATGGGGCTAGTGCTTGGAGGGCGAAGTCCAGTGGTCCTCACAGGTCACGCAGACGCTTCTTGGGCTGACGACCAGGCTACGCAGCGGTCGTCACAGGGTTACACCTTCAGCCTTGGCTCCGGCTCTGTTTCGTGGCGGTCTACCCGCTCGTCTTCTGTTCTCAGCTCCAGCTGTGAGGCTGAGCTCTACGCGGGGGCCATGGCTGCACAGGAGCTACGCTGGCTCACCTACCTGCTGATTGACCTAGGAGAGACGCCTCGTTCTCCTCCAGTTTTGTACGTAGATAACAAGGCCATGCTGGCCTTGTGTCGGGAGCACAGATTGGAGCACAGAACGAAGCACATTGCTCTTTGCTACTTCCTTGCTCGTAAGCTGCAACAGCGTGGTCAGCTGCGCCTTGCTTACGTGGCCTTTGAGGCCAATACTGCTGATATCTTTACGAAGGCACTTCCGCCTTGTGATCATCAGCGCTTCTGTACGATGCTAGGTCTTGTGCCTTCTTGGCCTCACTTGCTTACTTCTTGACCTTGCTTGTATTGTGATCGTTCTATACCTGCACTTGCTTGTTTATCTTTATATATGATCTTGCATGTGAACTGGCCTTGTGGCCTTGCTCTTGTGCTCGGACTGTGTGGTGACATTGTCATCCACCCTGAGCTTGCTTTGCTTTGCTTGACTGGTCTTGTAACCTCTTGTTCTTCCCCACTTTGCCTATGGGGGTGTGTCAAATTCATATGCTATAGTCTGTGTATGCTGTAGTTGGGTAGACAATATGGGGTACAACACTTTTCAGTTTTCCTACTTTACTCACCTGCTTGCTAGTTCATTCATTCCTTCATCATTTCTTCACAATTTCATGTAATTGAAGGAAGTTTCGATTTTTTTTTTTTAATGGTTTGCCAGTTAATAGTGATTAAATGACATATCAAGTTCGTGAAAATATATTCTCCTCCACCCCCCCCCCCCCCCCCCCCCCCCCTCCCCCCCCTTTTTTTCCGAAACTCGTGATTCAATTGTTTTTTGTTTTTCAAATAATGCTATAAAGATCCTCTTCTTTAAATGAGGGTATGTAATATTTTGTTATCCAGTCCAGAATTCTATAGATTAAACATTGTAGCGTTACCTTTGATTTGATAATGAGTTTCACAGAAAAAAATGACCCTACAAAAGTCCAGTTTTCGGAAGGTAAAGAATATAATGTAACACGCCCTTAGCACATACTTTCCAGAACAAGGCTCAAAGTGTCAGCAAAAACGTCCCAAAAGTCAGCTACTGCGAGTAGCGAGGGTAAGGTGTACTTGTGGCTGGGCTGATCGCAGCCTCGCTACATACTCGTTAATGCCTTGTCAGTGTGTCTCATTGTTCCTACATATGTCTATACACTGTAGTTTTAAAACCTAGCCTTCACCCAGCCAGCGAACCTCCGATACCAAACCTCCCTTCCCGCCAGGAACCAAGCCGCTAGCCTGCTTTGTCCATACAGTACAAGCGCTCAGCAGAAGTAACCCTATGGTTGTGGGGGTACAGTGCGAAGTGTCCGCCGTGCATCGTGTGTGTGTGTCTCCTGCCCCTTTCCCCCGTCCCTCATCAGAACAGCTGTGCCGCGTCCACAACACCGCATGTAGCCTGGAACATGCCCGCCTAACCGTTTGGTATTCTTAAAAACCGCTCTGCCACGCAGAACATATGATATGACCGCGTGACCATCCCTTTTGACTGCTCCCTCGCACCCTCCATTTTCCTTCCCTTTCCCTCCCTCGCCTCACTGACTTGACTACTCGGTCTCATTCACGCACTTGTGAAGCTTGCTTCGGCCTCTAGACTAATCGCGACCTTCCCAGTCCTCAGCATCTCCTTCCCACACGTCGCACGCACACACTGCCTTGTGCCTTCGCCTCGTCTTCAGGCTGCTTCAAGAGGTTGCCGTTTCTCGCTAGCGTGTAACAACGAGAGTCTACTTGATTGGCGTCAAGGCGCGTTACAACCCGATTATCTTCGCGGGGTCTGATCCGGTCCGCGCGGCCGCTGACGTAGCCCGTTGCGGACTTGAGAGCGTTGGGTGGAAGGTTCAACCGCCCTTCCTTGCGAAATCGTTGCGATCGTCAATCTTCCCTTAATTATAGAAGATCCTGAAAGTTTAGCCGCCAATTATCGCAGCGTCTTTCCGCGGCATGGTGAAGGAGACGGAGTACTATGACCTATTAGGAATAAAACCCGAGTCAAACGCGTCGGAGATTAAAAAGGCGTATTACATACAGGTTTGTAACCGTAACCCTATCGGCTTGACCCTGTCCGCTTGACCGATTGGCTTAATCCCATCGAATTGACCCGTGTGTTTGATCGCTTGGTGCCATGGCGGGCGCACCTGCTTCCTTATGAGTCAAATTGTTTCTTGAGAATTCTCACACCCAATTACTCCCAGGAGCTCACACCTATGCAATCGTAGCATGAAGTGACTCCACCGTGCCAATTAATATTAATTTAATTCTTCTATGTTTCGTTACGTTCCCTTTCCGTTCTGCTCTCCAGGCGCGAAAAGTCCATCCGGACAAGAACCCTAATGATCCCGATGCTGCCGCGAAGTTTCAGGTGCATTGCGCACACCCTGACCCATGTTTTGCGCGTTCGTCTGTCCCCCTCGCATCTAACGTATCGCTCCTCGCCCGTTTTACTGTCTCTTATACGTGTTCGTGTCCTCTTCCTCCTTCCTCACTCCCCTCTTCCCCGCCCCTCCCACCTCCTCCCCTCAGTCAACCCTTCCCTCCCCTCCCCCCCCCACCCCCCAACCCCTCCCCCCCCCCCCCCCCCCCCCTCTCTCTCTCTCTCTCTCTCTCTCTCTCTCTCTCTCTCTCTCTCTCTCTCTTTCTCTCTCTCTCTCTCTCTCTCTCTCTCTCTCTCTCTCTCTCTCTCTCTCTCTCTCTCTCTCTCTCTCTCTCTCTCTCTCTCTCTCTCTCTCTCATTTCCCCCCTTTCCTCCTCCGCTCGGGGTCTCTCCGCGCGCTCTCGTCGTCTGTGCATTTTCCTCGTCTATTAATCAGCTCCGTTATACCTTCCCGCTGCGCCGGTTTGCTTCCCCTTTCTACCTTTTTCCTTCGCTTCAACCCCCGCCCTTCGTCGCCCTCTTACTCGTCTACTCACTCGCCGCCGCCCTTACCTTCCGCACGCAACGCTTACCGCCAGCATGCACTCTCATACCCCCTCAACGTATCCCCTTGCGCCCCCGCAACCCCCGCAATTCCCGCAATCCCCGCCAACCCCCCGGCCGCGCAACGGAGGCAGCTACTGGGGGAGGCGTACCAGGTGCTGAGCGATCCGGGGCAGCGCGAGCGGTATGACGCGTGCGGCAAGGCGGGCGTGTCCACGTGAGTCGCACGGCCGCGGGGGGGGGGGGATTGTGGGGGGAGGGCGTGGAGGGGGCTGAAAGGGGGAACTGGCGAGGGGGGAGGGTGGGGTGAGGCGAGGAATGGGCGGAGAGATTGGTGGAGATGAGGGGAAGAACGAAGGGTCGTGCAGGAGCGAGTGGGCGAATGGGTTGGTTGGTGGGGAGTAGCTGGGTGGCGGCAAGATACTTGCGTGTCCGTGTGTGAGGCGTGTTAGTGTGTGAGTGAGGGAGTGAGTGAGGGAGGGAGGGAGGGAGTGAGTGAGTGAGGGAGGGAGTGAGTGAGTGAATTATTAAGTCAGGCAGGAATTTAGTGCTCGTTCGCAATCTCCTCTCAGTTTGTTTTGCCTCATCACATTCCATTCCGTCCCACCCCCACTGACCCCGCACCCCGTCCCCTTGTCTTCGGCCAAACTTACAACCATCTCCCCCTTTCCCTCTCTTCTCCCCACCCTCCTCCCCGTCCCCCCTCTCCGCTTTCCACGCTCCGGCACGGCGCAGCCCATCCTGCTTAGCTTGGCCTTTTGCTATACTTTTTGTTGCGTGTGTGTCTCGTCCGTCCGCTTTTCTCCCTTCTCGCCCTCTTCCCCTCTCCCTCCTAATCCCCTCCCCTCTCCCTTCTCCGTTCCCCCCCATCCCCTTCCCCTCTCCTTTTCCTCCCCCACCTTTCTTCCGCCACACCCCCACGCGGGCACGTCACTCCCCTCGATCTCCCCCCCTCCGCCCCGTCCCCCCTACAACGCTCCCCGCTCCTCCCTTCCCACCAGCGAGGCGATGGTGTATCCCATGTTCGGAATGCTGTTCGGCAGCGAGGCCTTTGAGGACTATGTGGGGCAGCTCTCTCATTCCCTTCCCTTCTCGCGCGCACACACACACGCACTGCTTCCGCCCCCCCCGCTTCCCTCCACAGGGAGGCGATGGTGGATCCAGCGGCCATGTTTGGAATGCTGTTCGGCAGCGAGGCCTTTGAGGACTATGTGGGGCAGCTCGCCATGGCCACCGTTGCCGGGCTCGCTGCTGACGCGCCCAACCCCTCCGCCGCCTCCGCTGCTAATGCGGATGGTGGCGCCAGCAGCAGTGGCGGAGCGGACATGGCGAATGGCGGAGCGGGGGGCGCGGACGGGGGGGTGGACACTGCAGAGCTGCAAGCGAAACTCAAGGTTGGGGGGCCTGGAGGGAGGGGGGGGTGGAGAGGGCAGGGTTTATTTTTGAGTCGACTCAAAAAGTGGACGGGGGAGTGGATACTGCAGAGCTGCAAGCGAAACTCAAGGTTGGGGCCTGGGAAAGGGGGAGGGAAAGGGAGGAGGAGGGGGGGGGGGGGAGGTGAATGGGTAGACTGGGTAGCCGCCCAAGTGATAGTTAATTTGTTTTGAGACGCCTCTATTCAGATTTGAGGGGAGCTTTGTCGATAAAGCTCTCCCTCTTAAAATGTGCTCTTCCCTCCCACCCCCTCCCTCCCCCCCATATCCCCTCTCCCTTCCCCCTTTGGGCCCCCCGCGTCCGCCCCTCCCCCGCCCATCACTCCCTCACTCCCCATCGTTGCCCTGGTGGGTGAGAGCAGGCGGCACAAGACCAGCGTATAGGCGAGTTGGTGGAGAAGCTTAAAACGAGGCTGCACCTGTACACGGCGAGCGGCAAGGAGGAGTTTGTGCAGTGGGCGGAGGAGGAGGCTGAGCGCTTGTCTCAGACTGGTGAGCCATGGCGTGGGAGTGGGCGTGGTTGTGGGCGTGGGCGTGGGCGTGGGTGTGGTGTATGTAGGTGGGTGGGTGGATCATCCAGGTTTGACTGTATGCATGGGTGCGTGCATGGGTGCGTGCATGGGTGCGTGGGTGCGTGCGTGGGTGCGTGCGTGGGTGCGTGCGTGGGTGCGTGCGTGGGTGCGTGCGTGGGTGCGTGCGTGGGTGCGTGCGTGGGTGCGTGCGTGGGTGCGTGCGTGGGTGCGTGCGTGGGTGCGTGCGTGGGTGCGTGCGTGGGTGCGTGCGTGGGTGCGTGCGTGGGTGCGTGCGTGGGTGCGTGCGTGGGTGCGTGCGTGGGTGCGCGCGTGGGTGCGCGCGTGGGTGCGCGCGTGGGTGCGCGCGTGGGTGCGCGCGTGGGTGCGTGCGTGGGTGCGTGCGTGGGTGCGTGCGTGGGTGCGTGCGTGGGTGCGTGCGTGGGTGCGTGGGTGCGTGCGTGGGTGCGTGCCTGGGTGCGTGCCTGGGTGCGTGCCTGGGTGCGTGCGTGGGTGCGTGCGTGGGTGCGTGCGTGGGTGCGTGCGTGGGTGCGTGCGTGGGTGCGTGCGTGGGTGCGTGCGTGGGTGCGTGCGTGGGTGCGTGCGTGGGTGCGTGCGTGGGTGCGTGCGTGGGTGCGTGCATGGATGCGTGCATGGATGCGTGCATGGGTGCGTGCATGGGTGCGTGCATGGGTGCGTGCATGGGTGCGTGCGTGGGTGCGTGCGTGGGTGCGTGCGTGGGTGCGTGCGTGGGTGCGTGCGTGGGTGCGTGCGTGGGTGCGTGCGTGGGTGCGTGCGTGGGTGCGTGCGTGGATGCGTGCATGGATGCGTGCATGGGTGCGTGCATGGGTGCGTGCATGGGTGCGTGCATGGGTGCGTGCATGGGTGCGTGCATGGGTGCGTGCGTGGGTGCGTGCGTGGGTGCGTGCGTGGGTGCGTGCATGGGTGCGTGCATGGATGCGTGCATGGGTGCGTGCATGGGTGCGTGCATGGGTGCGTGCATGGGTGCGTGCATGGGTGCGTGCATGGGTGCGTGCATGGGTGCGTGCATGGGTGCGTGCGTGGGTGCGTGCGTGGGTGCGTGCATGGGTGCGTGCATGGATGCGTGCATGGGTGCGTGCATGGGTGCGTGCGTGGTGCGTGCGTGGGTGCGTGCGTGGGTGCGTGCGTGGGTGCGTGCGTGGGTGCGTGCGTGGGTGCGTGCGTGGGTGCGTGCGTGGGTGCGTGCGTGGGTGCGCGCGTGGGTGCGTGCGTGGGTGCGCGCGTGGGTGCGCGCGTGGGTGCGCGCGTGGGTGCGCGCGTGGGTGCGCGCGTGGGTGCGCGCGTGGGTGCGCGCGTGGGTGCGCGCGTGGGTGCGCGCGTGGGTGCGCGCGTGGGTGCGCGCGTGGGTGCGTGCGTGGGTGCGTGCGTGGGTGCGTGCATGGGTGCGTGCATGGGTGCGTGCATGGGTGCGTGCATGGGTGCGTGCATGGGTGCGTGCATGGATGCGTGCATGGATGCGTGCATGGGTGCGTGCATGGGTGCGTGCATGGGTGCGTGCATGGGTGCGTGCGTGGGTGCGTGCGTGGGTGCGTGCGTGGGTGCGTGCGTGGGTGCGTGCGTGGGTGCGTGCGTGGGTGCGTGCGTGGGTGCGTGCGTGGGTGCGTGCGTGGGTGCGTGCATGGGTGCGTGCATGGATGCGTGCATGGGTGCGTGCATGGGTGCGTGCATGGGTGCGTGCATGGGTGCGTGCGTGGGTGCGTGCGTGGGTGCGTGCGTGGGTGCGTGCGTGGGTGCGTGCGTGGGTGCGTGCGTGGGTGCGTGCGTGGGTGCGTGCGTGGGTGCGTGCCTGGGTGCGTGCCTGGGTGCGTGCATGGGTGCGTGCATGGGTGCGTGCATGGGTGCGTGCATGGGTGCGTGCATGGGTGCGTGCATGGGTGCGTGCATGGGTGCGTGCGTGGGTGCGTGCGTGGGTGCGTGCGTGGGTGCGTGCATGGGTGCGTGCATGGATGCGTGCATGGGTGCGTGCATGGGTGCGTGCATGGGTGCGTGCATGGGTGCGTGCATGGGTGCGTGCATGGGTGCGTGCATGGGTGCGTGCGTGGGTGCGTGCATGGGTGCGTGCATGGATGCGTGCATGGGTGCGTGCATGGGTGCGTGCATGGGTGCGTGCATGGGTGCGTGCATGGGTGTGTGCATGGGTGCGTGCATGGGTGCGTGCATGGGTGCGTGCATGGGTGCGTGCGTGGGTGCGTGCATGGGTGCGTGCATGGGTGCGTGCATGGGTGCGTGCATGGGTGCGTGCATGGGTGCGTGCGTGGGTGCGTGCATGGGTGCGTGCATGGGTGCGTGCATGGGTGCGTGCATGGGTGCGTGCATGGGTGCGTGCATGGGTGCGTGCATGGGTGCGTGCATGGGTGCGTGCATGGGTGCGTGCATGGGTGCGTGCATGGGTGCGTGCATGGGTGCGTGCATGGGTGCGTGCATGGGTGCGTGCATGGGTGCGTGCATGGGTGCGTGCATGGGTGCGTGCGTGGGTGCGTGCGTATTCGCACACTCCCTTCCGCCCTCACCCACTCCCCTGCTTCCTCCCTCCCCCGCATTCCCCACCACCCCCAGCGTTCGGAGAGCACATGTTGCACAGCACAGGTACATCTACCAGCGCTCTGCAGCGAAACAGCGCCATTTTTACCTTCCCTCCCTCCCCACTCGCAATCATCTCATCTCCCCCACCTCCCCTCCCCCCCCCACCCCCCCCCCATTCCCCCCGCTCCCCCACTCCTCTTGGTTCTGCTCTTCCCGGGCACCTTCCTTGCCCCCCTCCTTTTTCCACCACCCCCAGCGTTCGGAGAGCACATGCTGCGCAGCATAGGGTACATCTACCAGCGGCAGCAAAGCAGCGAATGTCACTGGTCCCCCTACTTGCAATCATCATCCCTCCACCCCCCATCCGCCCCATTCCCCCACCGCCCCCAGCGTTCGGGGAGCACATGTTGCACAGCATAGGGTACATCTACCAGCGGTCGGCAGCGAAGCAGCTGGGCAAGAACCCGCTGCTGCTGGGCGTGCCGTTCGTGGGCGAGTGGTTCAGAGAGAGGGGTCACCGCTTCTCCACTCAGGTCTCCGCTGCCGTCGGTGAGTTGAGCTGTTTCAGTTTTGTCTGGCGAACCAAAGGCACTGAGGCACCTAAGGGAATGTGTCGTAAATTGCCGTTAGGGGGGTGAGAGAGCTTCAATAGGGGGTGAGAGAGAGAGGGGCCACTGCCTCTCCACTCAGGTTTCCGTTTCTGTCAGAGAGAGTGGGCGGGTGGCGAATGTGTTGGTGCTCGCACGCACTCATGCATGCAGGATGGCACCCACGCCACGCTCCGTCCTTTCGCCATGCCACTCGACCTCCTCTTCTTTCTCACCAAACCCCCACCCCTCTCTCCCCCCCCCCACCCCACCCCACCCCCACCCCCATCCCCCTTCTCCCCGTCTATCCGCCCCTTTTCTGATGGCTTCCCTTCATGACACTAGCAGGCGTGCTGCAGCTGTACCAGGCGCACCAGGACATGCGGCGCAAGGTGGAGCGCCCCCCCCACCCCCATATTACCCGAACTTCCTCCCCCGTCCCTCCACCTCCCGTTGCCATAACCACAGGCGTGCTGCAGCTGTACCAGGCGCACCAGGACATGCGGCGCAAGGTGGAGGAGGAGCAGATGGACGAGGAGGCCATGGCGGCGTTCCTGGAGAGCCGCCAGCAGTCGCTGCTGGAGTCGCTGTGGAAGCTCAACGTCATTGACATCGAAGGCACTCTCTCCTCCGTGTGCCAGCAGGTGGGGTGAAGGGGGGGGGCAGCAGACGGGGGGAAAGTGGGGGTTGGGGGGGGAGAGGGCAGCAGGTGGGGTGAATGCAAGGAGGGTAGCCAGCAGGGGTGCGGCTCTGGGGCCCACAAACCGTGGTGCCAAAATGTTGACGCGGCCTGTCTTTACTGCTGCTCTTCCATTGGCCTACCATCTCTATATATATACACTGCAAGGGCATATACCCTCCTCCATGCCCCCCTCCCCCACACCGCCCACCACCCCACTCCCCGCTCCTCCTCCCCTCTGCCTTGGTTGCTGACTCTGTCGTGGGTAGCTAGGCTGTGGTTCTGCTACGGTCTACGTTGCAAACCATGTTGCCCGATCTCCCAACCCGATACCTTGCACTCCGCTTTGCCCCTCATCCGCTTTACCCCTCATGTTGCAGCCGTTTCCCCCATTGCTCCTGCTCGTTCCCCCCTCTGCCCCTCCCACCCCCCCCCCTTTTACACGATCTTCTACCCTGCCCCCATGTTGCTTTGTTGGGCAGCTCGGAAGGCACCCTTTCCTCCCTGTTTATTAGACGTCTCAAGAATTCACTTCTGCTCGTCCCCCTTCTTCCCCTCCCTGTCCTTCCTCTCTGTCCCACGGATGCAACTCATTTCTGTTTTTTCTGCTTTTCCATGCGGCTGAATGCCCTCCCGGTTCATCCTGCCTGTGGCTGCTTGGCTAGGTGCTGGTAGAACCAGGGGAGAAGAAGTCCAAGCAAGAGCTCAGGGCCAGGGCGCTCAAGAAGCTAGGGCAAGTCTTTTATGTGAGTGGGCAGGCCGACTGGTTGTAGGCCAAGTTTTCTATGTGAGCAGGACAGGCTGCCTGTGTGATGAGTCTAGGGCTGGAAGGAATCGTTCGCGCTCCGTGCGTTGCTTTTGAGAATTCTCGAAAGCTTCTTGAGTCCATTTCAATGTTTTTGTTGTTTGGCGTGTGCCGCAATGCATGTGAATGCATGCATGCATGAGTGTGTGTGTGTGTGTGTGTGTGTGTGTGTGTGTGTGTGTGTGTGTGTGTGTGTGTGTGTGTGTGTGTGTGTGTGTGTGTGTGTGTGTGTGTGTGTGTGCGTGTGCGTGTGCGTGTGCGTGTGCGTGTGCGTGTGCGTGTGCGTGTGCGTGTGCGGGTGCGCGTGCGCGTGCGCGTGCGCGTGTGTGTGTGTGTGTCTGTGTGTGTCTCTGTGTGTGTCTCTGTGTGTGTCTGTGTGTGTGTCTGTGTGTGTGTGTGTGTGTGTGTCTGTGTGTGTGTGTGTGTGTGTGTGTGTGTGTCTGTGTGTGTGTGTGTCTGTGTGTGTGTCTGTGTGTGTGTGTGTCTGTGTGTGTGTGTGTCTGTGTGTGTGTGTCTGTGTGTGTGTGTCTGTGTGTGTGTCTGTGTGTGTGTCTGTGTGTGTGGTGTGTGTGTCTGTGTGTCTGTGTGTCTGTGTGTGTGTCTGTGTGTGTGTCTGTGTGTGTGTCTGTGTGTGTGTCTGTGTGTCTGTGTGTCTGTGTGTGTGCAGAAGAAGGCAGTGCAACTGAGGGCCAAGTCACGCAGTGCTGCTCTGGCTACTAGAACCGGCTCCAGCTCACGATCAGCCTCACACCGCCAACCTGAGGTCTCTGGACCCCACTGCACCCCTTTGCACTGTCTTGTTCTCCAGAGCCACTGTCCCTCCGTCTCACCACCTCTTTGCACACCCGTCGCCCCCCCCACTCTCCACTGCATTGCCCCTCCCTGTTCTCACTTGGTTCCCTTGCTGTTTGTATCTCTCTTGTCAATTCCCCACCTGCATCTCACTTCCCTTCCCTTTCTCCTTCCTACCCGCCCTGCCTTTCCTGCAGAGTTGGTCTGGTGAGCCTTCCCAACCAACTGGTGCATCTAGCAGCACTGAGAGTGATACGCCGCCCCCACCGCCCGCACCCAACCCCACGAGTCGAGCCGATCTGGAAAAGATGTCAGTGGGGGAGCTTAAGAGGTTCATCACAGGGAAAGGAGGGGAGGTGCGTGGGCTGTTGGAGAAACAAGACCTCATTGATGCTGCCTCAGCACTTCTCTGATCGTCCCTGTATAACCAGTAGGTTGAACTAGAGAAGTTGATGGCGTGCTTGTGCTTGTGGTGAGCATGTGTCTTACAAAAAGTGGCCTGTTGCACAAGTGTTACAGCTGGGTATAGCTGGAACATGAAGAGACTGATACTATCCACGGTAAAAGGGAACCTGAAAAATGTATATTTCATTTCAGTGAAGAAATACATTAGGAGTTATGATACCTGAGATGTAACAGGTGGTGATGGTTATAATGGCAAGTAGTATTACAACATCTATGTTCGATGTTAGGGCTCATTCGTGGCCCGTGTCAGACTTCAGGTCAAAAGCCTTTAGTCTCCAATTTGACTCATCCAAACTCGGATTTGCCTCACAAACGAGGCCACGTCGGGTCTTCCGAGCCTCCACTTCGGGTCTGACCTGATGTCTGACACAGGCTACGAATGCGCCCTTAGATTTGGCCTATGTCGTAGGTCTATTTGTGAGCAAAAGCTGCCCGACAAGATACCCTACGTGACGAACCCATGCCGAATAGCAGAAATTCGTGATGCTGTTCGCACTTCGCGTTTTCGCTCGAACAAATTCCTCTGGTGAATTGGACAAGCAAATATCCGTGTGCTCCACAAGAAATGCACTCCACGGTCACAGGGCTCCTATCCCCAAGAAAATTTCTTTGGTCTACTCGGCTTGATGCATGATGTGTCTACGTTTGCACATGCAAACCTCTAATGGTGTCTAGCGTTTGGGTTGGGCGGGCGTGCGTATGAGAAATATGTGAAAGGTGAACATGAGGGGGAGGGGATGGAAGGAACCGTATGTATGGTCAAGCTGGGGGTAGAGAAAGATGAGGGTGGGAATGAGCGAGGGATGGCTAGAAGGGTGTAAACAGATGGGTTAAGAGATAGAGTTGGCGAGCGGGATAGATCGACCGACAGTGAGGGGGATGATAGTTGAAGATAGAGAGAAGGGCAGAGAAACGAATGGCGAGAGAAAAAGGGATGGCGGTGAGATTAAGAGACAGATGTGAAGTAGGATAGAGATGGGCGAGGCGAATAAAGATGAATGGCTAAGAGATGAATAGTTGGATAGTGGGCGTAGATATGAAGAGCGAAAGGGACAGAGAGTTGGTGAGCGAAGGGGATAGAGAGTTGATAAGCGACGGGGATCATGAGTGGATAAGCGAAGGAAATAGTAAGGTGAAGAGCGAAGGGGATAAGAGAGTTGAGAAGACCGAAGAGGACAGTGAGTTGAAAAGACCGAAGGTTGAAGAACGATGGGAATAGAGAGATGGAGACGGGGATAAAGAAAGGAATGGCGAAGAGGTACACGGGGGGCGGATAGAGGCTAATTTTCAGAAACGGAGAGAGGGACAAGGCGAGGCGAGCAGGGAAACGAAGAGAAGGTGAGGAATAGAGTTAGGAAAAGAGGGAGGGGTTTAGACAAAGAGACATGGAAGAGGGCGAGGGTAAGTGGGGTTGAGAGGATTGCGTTGGTCTGGCACCTCGAAACTGTGTGGCCTTACCTCCGCGAGAATCCATCGTTCCCGAGACGGGCTAATGCGGTCAACTTCTTTCGGATTGGCCATCGAGAGCGGAAGTGAGGTGTGTTATCAAAACGCAGACAAACCGCGTCCCTTTACATTGACCAAAAACAAGGCATCAGCATCTACTTTTCGTATGCTGGGATAGACTACACGAGAAGCTGGCCGTCCGCATTGCCTCACATGATATTCTGTATATAAGGCCTGGCTGTATTTAAGCTGCAGCCTCTGACTCAGGGACGTCCACTTGTGTGACCTTGAATTGCGCGAGGTGCTGGTCGCCTGGCACAAGCAAGGGGAATGGCAGGAAGCACAGCGACAAAACATGTCATGCTCCCCGCGCATCAGAACCATCCAGTAACACAGACAAACGGAGTACGAGAGAGCGCACGAGACAAAGCCACGAGCTGACGTCTTACCAAAGATAACGACGCTTCCAACTGCCAAGGACGCGGTATTTCCGGGCTTCAGCGGCGCATTGTCAACGAACGTTCCGTTGGTGCTGTCGAGGTCCGTGACCACAAGGACGTCCCCGCGGTTCTCCAGGCGTGCATGAACGCCAGACACTGAGGCGACAGAAAACGCACGCGAAGCACCCGCGACCAGAATGGTTGAGATGCGCCTTTGAACAATGCTTTGGTCTTAACCGCATAGCAACAGGGGAAACAGTCGAAAGCACTGAGCTGGAGGGACCAATGGAAAAAAGTAACAGTGCTCTACCTGTGGGAACAGGAATGACGACATCCGCTCGCTCGGCCATCCGACCAATCACCACAGCATCCTGTCAGACAAAGGAGCGTCAAGTGTTAGACACAGCAGAAACCGGTACAGGCCATGCATTCAAGGATTTTCAGATGTGGTGGACTTACTCCGGCAACGTCAATGGGTCCAGGCTTCGCAATCTCCTGCTCAAGGTGGGCAGTGTCTCCATCGCCTGTGGTGCAGGAGAGGTGAACAAGAAAACAAAACTCAGGTCGTCAAGAGCGCATGACTCACTGGGATAAAACAATGAGCAGCAATGCTCAGGAACTAGAAGGACACGATGTTATAAACGTACCAATAGGCTCCAGAACCCACTTCAGCGCAGCAACCGGTTGCACGGCACGGCGGCCAACTGCCTTAAGCGAGCGTGTGGTGGAAGGCAAGAGACCGTAAGTGCTAGCAGTCGTGTTAAGGGAACTGAGAGTCTGCAGCCTGGACGAGGCAACGACCTTAGTGGCCACGCACGCAGACGAGGACGCCACAGCGGCCATTTTCAGTGACAGGCACAAGAACGAAGCAGCAACGACCTGAAGATTGCTGGGAAAGCAAGTACACTGGGTGGTGGGAATGTGGCCTGCAAATGTGAATTTCAAGCAGAATGGTTGGGAGATGGAGATTCCTGAATCCTGATCACTTGTGAGTGAGCTGGATGGGATGCTGTTCCTAGCTGACAGTCAACAACTCGGGACGGGATCCAGGAAGGTGGTGGAAAACCTGACGACATTGCATGACGTGGAGATTTGGCGGGAAGCATCTGACCGATGCCGATGGGGCAACCCCCTGGATAGGAAGGCCACGCTGGACGAGGATCCTGACAGAATCCGTGACACAAGTGCTCCATTCCTGTTTATCTCAGTAGAGTTGTAATTCATGTGAAGGCGCACTATATTTAACAGTTGAGCAATTTATCTAAATTTTTCTTTTGCCTTTTGACATGTAATATATTGCAGTTTGAATTATATACTGTGAATATTTACAACGGAAATACATTATTTAATTCATTTACCTTGGACTTGCACCTTTGAGATTTGAACAGCTTTAAAGTCTGAGATGGATGTGGCATAGTGTTACGAGTGGAATGAAACGAGGTAGCGAGCATTGCACTAAGGTGTCAAACGAGTACAAAATGTGAGCGAAGGCATGAGCGAACATTTATGGCCGAAACATGCAAACGGTAACGCGGTACGTGCGAGCTAGCTAGTGCTACGATTGCAGTGAGGCTCGGGCTAGTCCCGAAGCGTATGCCGACGCGGTCGGGCCAGCAATGCAAGGTTTTGTGAAACAGTGCGCGCGAAGTCGGCGAAGCCCCGTTAGCACTAACGGGCAAACAACGGCTGCTGCTGTACGCGATGTTGCAGGGCGCGCTAAGGAATGTTGAGAAAATTCCTTACACTAACCCCCCTCCCCCCCCCCCCTCCTCAAGAAGCCCCCTCCGCTACGCGAGTGCGTGCATATCGCAGAAACCACGGCTCTGCAGATACACTTGCAGGGCAGGGTGGTTTTCGATGTTGGCCAGGGGCACCCAGCTATCTTCAGTTGGCGTGCGATCCTTCCTGAGAACGAGGAATTCAATCCGCTTGATTCCCGTGTGAGAAAACTGAAACGAGAATGATTGCATTGAGTAGACCCAGGCAGAGCCTGGCATGCCACTGACGATGTTCGCCCCAGGAGGGGGAACGTTGTCAACGTAGGTGCCTGTCGACTTCCAGGAAGCCATCTTTGCGTCCATAGCTGCCTGCCACTGAGAGGATTAGGGACCCTCTATCGCCTCCGCGTAAGAGCGCGGAGTCGTGAAGTCAAGTTCATCCGGGTCTCCCTTAGGGGTAAGCAGTACGGACACGAGATGAGGTGAAGCAGCAGCCAAACACTGAAACTCCTCCTGCCTGTCCTCAAGGACATCCGTGCCAAGGGCACACTCACCCCCGACGGACGGAGGACAGACAGACTCAGACTCAGCAACTAGAGTAGCAGCGTAGCCTAGACGACAGCGAGCAGCAAAGTCGACGAGCTCAGCAACTAGGGCAGACGCAACAGTGGACTCAAAGGAAGGGTCAGTGACAACTGTAGCAAGGAGACGCGTGACAGTAGGACTGGCAGCACGAAGAGAGTCCGACTCTGGGTCGGCAAGAGCAGGAAGAGAGGACTCAGGAGGAGAAGGCAAAGGGGCACGCAGAGGAGCAGTGGACGGGCGCAGAGACATCCGGTGCGTGCAAGGGACAGGAGGAGGACGCTGACGCAAACCACGACCACTAGCGCGAGCAGCACGGACAGGCGACGCAGGGCGAGACGCAGGCTCACGACGCTCAGTAAGACCTCCAGTAGGACTAGTGTAGGGAGAAAGAGCAGGTAGTGGGGAGGCAGGCTGTAACTGTAACTGCGACGGGACAGACTGTGGACACGCTAAGGGAGAAGGAGGACCAGTAGAAGGCGGGAGACCAAGAACCTGCTCAAGGAGCGGAACGAAGTACGGCCGAGGCCGCGCAGCGACTCTAGACACAACAGGGACAGCACCAGTACCCCCAGTGGTAGCACCAGCGCCAGCAGCACCTCCAGCTCTAGTACCCCCAGCAGCTCCAGTAGCTCCAGGACCTCCAGCAGCACAAGTAGCACCCCCAGCAGGACCGCCTCCAGTACCGCCAGTAGCACCCTCAGCGCCAACACCCTCAGCAGCTCCAGCTCCAGTAGTACCTGCAGGCCCAGCAGCTCCAGT